AAAAGATATGACGTATTCAGTACTTAGTGTGATTGGCTTTATGATTGAAGGTTACGCCCTAGAGTCTTTTTACTGCTTTGTAATTGGTTAGAGTTTTGAAAATGAATAAAGAGAGTTTTGAGTTGGCCCTCTTGGGGAGCACAGCACGAGAGACGCAGTCGAGGGCAGTCCTGGAGAGCCATGGGGCGAATGTTGACGCAGTCTAAGAGAGTTTTGGTTCAGCCTTGCGATAAGTCTTGGGGATTTTTCCCCAGGGCGCTGTGTCTTATAGAGTGCTCGATTGACCGACTAAGACGAGAGTTGAAACGTATTTCGCTGTGTGTATCTTATTTGACTGTAAAGCGTAAGTGACTTTCCCTATCCCGTTCCTCAAGGGGACGCGATAAAGAGACGAGACGAGATTCCCCCCTGGCAAGTGTGGAGACCCCAGAGAGAGAAGATTTTCCCCGTGACAGTACATTGCTAATCTAACTGAACTTTCGCTACATGAATATTGTGTATGCCGAGTTTGCATTAATCGTGGTTCGTTAGGTTTTACCATGCCTTTTTACAATAATTTAGTGGAATAAGGGCTTGAATAATTACGCGAGTATATTACGGGTGCGTGGGACGGAATGCAACACACTGCCTGAGGCTATACTGAGACGAGTGTTGCAACTACTGCTAGTGGAATTGCCATATTTGGATGAATTGCTGTGTCTTCGATGTCGGGAGTATTGTGTGCTCAGGATTAACCCCTGTGTATCGCAATTGTGTCGTTATGAGGCGTTTGTCTTCGTCGCGTCGCGAATCGTCGCGTGTGGCCTTGGACGAGTCGTGTCATATCGTACTGTTTCGTGTGGTTTATTCGTAATTGTACCTGGTGTCTTGCAAAGCTGGGACTATTGACTGGTCAGATGAGTATTTAATGACATTAACGGTTGAATTGTATAGATTATAAACCTTATGACGCACCAGCATTTTTGTTTGTAGCCTTCCAGTTAATTTGTTATATTTAATATATCCATTTTGCAGTAGTACGTTTTGTTGTTGATGATATATACCCATTCTGTATTGTAATCCTTATATTTTGATGTAATAATTCTGTGCATCAATTTCGTATTGTTGTATTAAATGTCATATGCAATTGTATTAGATATACCTCATAGTCCAGTATTTATTTATGTATACGTCGGGCGTTGGTTAGATTTCGTCCCTTCATATCAATGCCCTGACAACACATTAACAGTCGGGGTTTAAGTTATGTGCTAAAGAGATGCTACAAATGTAAGCTCGCATCAATTGATCCAGAAGCTCCCGGAAAAAAAATACATGATTATTTTAAATATTCAAATCAAAGTAGCTCTCTAACCAGTTTTCGGTTTCTCGGCTTCCCGTATGATGTTGTCTTATTCAGTACAAACAATGTATAAAGCGACGACAATGAAACTGATTTTGACAAATGCATTCAAAAATATATTAAGGATAATTTATAAGGAGATGTATTCCATGTGAACAGCAATATTTATAATACTCGTTGCAGATTGTGTAAAAACAATTTAAGAGAGTGTATCTGGTTATTCAAGCTGTTTTGAACATGTGTACGTGATATGAGCATACCGCCCTGTGTACATAACCTGGGTGCAGCGTTGAATTGTATAATTCAGAGAGTATTTTCAATAAGCTTTTGTTGT